GAGGAGTGTGACTTTTTGGAATAATCCAGGGAGGGGAGGTAAATAGACTACAGAATGTAGTGCATAAGCTTTGATTTCACATGGTTTAGCTTAGTCTACCAATCAGACCCTAGAGCCTCAGAGGGCGGACACTGTATCTCAGGCATAGCTGAAAATCATGGGTAAAAAAATGAACAAACTAAAAAGCAAAACTCAATCTCAAAACATTCTATCTCCTAAGAGGGACCCGAACACATTTTTTGCTAATGGATAAATTGTTTATTCTCCTTCCTCACAGAGTCTTGAAGAAACTAAAAGATAAGGCATAAGAGAGAAAATACTGCATTATTTCCTGGCCCCTGGAGAAACAATAACCGAGAACAAGTGTGAGGCTCTCTTGACCTGACTAAACTATTCATACTTGCCAGGTGGTGCTATCCATGCCTGACAGAGAAGCTGCACTACAGAAGTGGCCAACCAAGGAGGTGCTGAGGGACTGCACACTCCTTGCCTATTCTAAAACGAGCAGGAATACACCGTGCCCCAGCCTTCCACAGCCACCAGTGCTGGGAGGCCTGTTTACAGCTGGTCCCACCACTGCCATAGCTTCATTTTTCCTCAAGGGAGGCGTCAGCACAGCATTATAACTTGTTGCCAAAGACAAAGCTTGAGGGGGGTTGAAGGACGGAGTGAAAAAGGTGACGGGATTAAGAAGTACAATCGGCAGTTACAACACAGTCACAGGGATGGAAGTACAGCAGAGGGAACAGAGTTAATAATATTGTCATAACTACGTATGGTGCCAGGTGGGGACTAGGAAAGTTGGGGGAACACTTTGTAAAGTATTCTAACCACCATGCTGTACACCTGAAATACATACAAAATAATACTGAATGTAAAAACTGTAACTGAAAAATAAAATTTAAAAAGATAAAACATTACCTTCTGTACTTTATTTTTTATATTTTTATTGATTTGGGAGAGGGAGAGAGAGAAAAATATCAATGATGAGAGAGAATCATTGACTGGCTGCCTCTTACATGTCTCATATTGTGCATCGAGCCCACAACTCAGGCATGTGCCCTGACTGGGAATTGAATCATGACCTCCTGGTTCATAGGTCAATAATCACTGAGCGACACAGGCCAGGCAGCATTACCTTCTTTAAAAACACCCTTCCTTCCCATTCATTCATTTGGAGCAACATAGTGCTAAGTACGCCCTTTTTACCGAGTTTAAAAACTATCTTGCCCTGGCCTGGAGCACCAATGTACACCACAAGGGCTGTGCATTTCATTCCTAGTCAGGCACACATCTAGGCTGCATGTTCCATTCCCAGTAGGGGTGCATACGGGAGGCAACCTATTGATGCTCCTCTCTCATATCAATGTGTGTCTCTCTCCCTTCCTCACCATCTAAAAATCAATAAAAACCTATCTTCCGGTGAAGGTAAAAAAATAGCTTTATAATTTTAATATATGGAACATTAGAGATCAGGTAGTGTTGATTCTATCCCTTTCATTTTAACAGACAGGAAAACAGATACCCACAGATTTGGCCAAAGTCATACAGTGACAGATCTCCTGAGTCCTCCTTTCCATGCCCCGCCTTTAAGGAGGAGAGCGCTACCGGCTGGGCTCTGTGAGTGTACAGCAGTGCCAGCTGCTAATCCCCAAAGCAGAACATCAAGCTCATTTCTTCCGTCAGGCTCTTCCCCAAGGACAAGTGCTTCATCCTCTGGGCTGATTGCAGTTGTGATGAATTTAATCATTTGGTACCAGGAGTTAGCACAAGTGCTTCAGGCAGCCATTTGATTTAATAAATCAAGTAAAGAAGGCTGCAAAACTTGATGTGATCGTGAGTCTACTAAATAGAACCCAAAAAAACAGCTATAGGCTCCAGCACAAATACCAGAAAAGAGAAAATTCTCTCTTTGGCACCATTTCTGGCTTCCTGAAATGTAAAGCAGGGGCTTTTAAATATTTATGTGTCCATATTTGTTTTACAGAGCATTCCTCCTAATTTATCTTGTATTCAAACAGTTCCCTGGGGAAGAGGGGATGTTATTTCACCTTCCTCACTGCACATGCCAGCCATTCATTTTTAATAAGCAATAAAAATCATGGTAATGTCCTTAGTAAATGAGAGAGGGTAGTTTAGAAATCAGCTTATGTGAAAAGAACTGACCTAATAGCAAGTTTTAAAAAGTTTAACCCTTTTTAGAACACGATGAATAAACTTTGACTCTTCATGGTAAAACATCCCAGTTCATAGCCGACAAGTGTCACTACAGGATGTCAGAAACCAAAAAATTAAATTACTTTGGGCCAAAAGCAAATGTAGAAAAGAGGAAGAGTTTTTAGAAAAAAACAAGAAAGCAATACTTCCATTCTGAGGGCATCCGTTTGTTATGTGGTGCACATTTTAAACCTTTCAAAGGGCTACATTTTAATCCCAGATCCTCATTTATGCTGCCATGCTCCTAACACTGAAAGAGTACCCACAGAGACTGACAGTAAAACCAAAGTTTACCAAGAAATAGAAGGAACCTCTGAACTCATTTGAAAAAAAAAAAGGCAATGCAAAATTAAAGCTAAGGCCAAGGTCTTACTTTCCCGGATCTGGCATCTGTGTGCACAGCAACCGCAGAGACTGAAAACTCCTCCGGATTGAATGAATATTTGCCATCCCCATAAACACAACTTCACAATTGGGGTAATACTCTGGAGAGAAAAACAGTAAGTAGAACACAAATACGTTAAATTTAAAGCCCACATGGCCAAATTTAAAAGAAGCAAAATGGCAATAAACAAACCCACTGCAGTTGCTAATGGAACTGCAGTGTTTTGAAGCTTGTATTAGCTCAGTCCTTTATTATGAGCGGAAAATAGTGCTTGAAATTTTACCTGTTTTGCAAAGAGGAAGGTTAGATTTGTGAAGATACTGACATAAAATAGGAGCTGTTACTTAAAAAACATGAATAATAAAAAATAAAAAGATCTATATACTCCCCTCACCCCCAGGTTTACTTCTTGGGCCTGCGCTAACTTGTAGCTCTGGAATCTCTGAAAACAACCTGGCAGAACAATGCATTTCTTGCATTCAAATGTACCACTGCTTTTAATTCTCAGCTTAGATCCCATCTGAATAAGGAGTTTGGTGCCTCAACTTGCTCCATCGGCACACAACTAGCAGCAAAGGGTTCCTCCTTTGGCGAAAACCAGCGTTCAAACAGTAGGCACGTCAGAGGTTAGGAGAGAAGCACTTTGCTACAGCTTTGTATTTACTGCTTCGATTTCCAGGCCAGGTTTTCTAAGTGGGGCCATGTGAGGAGTTTCTGTAGGACAAGTGATGAGCTACCCACTTGTCAAAGGCAACACAAAGCTCCTAGAAGGCTGAGAAACTGAGCCCTAAAGAAGCCACTTCCAAATAAAGAACAGACCTTATATGGGAGAGAACTGACTTTCCTTATCACTTACAGGCTGGCACAAGGAAGGCGGACTATTTGGTTTCACTGTGCCTCCACCTCCACTTCTCCCATGAAAAGAGCATCGTGTTAAGAATACAAAGAGCTCCGGCTCTCTCAAGATAGGTTGGGGAACATGGTTTGCCTTTCATTTCATATTAGGAAGTAAGACCCAGTTGGACACAGGGACTCACGAGGAAAGAATGTTGGGGGACAAAGCACTGTCCATCTCACCTGGGCATTCACAGCCTCCTCCTTTGGCTCTGTTTGCAACAGCTGCAGCATAGGAACGTGCATCCAAAATCAAAAGCTTCTGAGGTTGGATGGCTAAACTCTCTGCTCCTGAAGCATGTGACAGAGAAGAATCTAGGAACATCAGGAGTGGGGAGGAAAAACTGAATGAACCTGTCCCTTCCAGAATTGTGCAAAGTAAGAACCCCAGACACATATTATGGTACAAAAAAAATAAAATAAAAAAATTAAGTTAAATCCCTAACCAGAACTTCTTTTTGTTTTCTATTTTGCCTATAATTTCCTATACCTTGTTTCTACAACAGTTGTCCTTTAATGAAGCCTGGTGAAATTTTCCTCCATGGTCTGGAGAAACTGCAGGTCCCCTACTACATATATATTCCTGTTACTATGGCAAGAAAGACCCCCCCAAAAAAAACAAAAACAAAAAAAACACCACTCTAGTCCTCTTAAACCAAGTTTGAAATAAGGGGTCTTCTTATTCATTGCCAAGACCCATGAATCCTCAAACAATCGCATCAATTGAAGCTTTGCTCTCTTCTATAAAACAAATTCTGTGTGTTATAAGAAAAAGGCCATTTCAAGAAAAGGTTCTCATCTGCTATAAAAATTTCCAGGAAGCACCTTACCAAACTCCACATCAGAAAGGTCTCCTGCATTGGGAAAGTCTCGAGAACTGCTCCTAGTTGACAGCTTGCTGCCACTCGATCGGGAGTTGGAGGCACAAGCTTTGGCTACTGACTGCACCAGGTGCTCATCATCAGCATTTCGCCAGCCCCACCAGCTGACCTCCGGCTGCCCGCAGCGGGCAATGACAGCTCCATTGCTCTGGTGCCTGTGCAGGGAACAAGAAACAACTGTACCATCCAGAGGCCCCATCCAGATGCTCTGTGCTCGTACCACAGTGAGGTCGTGGATTTTAAATGCCTTAATGAACTGCCTAACTACAGGTAAAAGATGCATTAGCTTCAAGTCCTCTCAGGGCAGAAATCTTATATAGCAACAAAAACAACAAATCCTACCGAGACCTTTCTCAATTATCTACCATTTTAGAGATCTTTGTAGAACTACCAACAAAATAAATGTATCTTCTTAGAGAAAACAAATTACTATTCATAAAGCAAATGTCTGTATCTTTAAATTTGTTTTTAGAAAATCTGGTTAAAAATAATCTACAGATACTACACTAATTCTCCTAATCAATAATGAAGCATTGTTCTCTCCTTCTTATCTGCACCTGAAAAAGTTGTTTCCTCACTGATTTCTGAAGGTCCACCGCAGCAATTGGCTGGCTTGGGGATTATTTTCAAAACAAGATCCCACCTTTGGGACCGAAACACTTACCTGGCCCACAGTGAACTGCTTGACAAAATCTCCTGAGATTTCCTGAGTCACAAACTGTTCTTATTATAGGCAAATAAGCTCAATGAGCCAGTTACTCTTCCTTAAGCTCTTAGAAGGAAATGAACAGCATAAACCTCAATAAGCCATACTCTCATAGATCCTTTTCCAAGATAGAAGATCAGAGTATTCGTAGTCTACTTTAAGATTCTATTAAAACCAAGTCTTTTCCTAATTAGGAATTTTAGTAATTAAAAAGTTATAAAGTAATATTATTTGGCAATGAAGAGAAATAAAATCCTAACACATGCTACAACACGGATGAGCCTTGAGTATGTTCTGCTAACTGAAAGAAATCAGTCACAAAAGGCCACATTCTGTATGACTCCATCTATATGAAATGTGCAGAATAGGCAAATCTAGAGGCAGAGACAAGTTTACTAGTAACCCAGGACTAGCGGCTTTGGGGAGTGACTACTAATGGGTCTGAGACTTCTTTTGGGGATGGTGAAATAACTAAAACTACCTGCAAGGATGGCTGCACAACTCTGTGCATCTACTTAAAAGAAAAAAGAGAAAAAAAGAAAAGATCACTAACTACATATTACATTAAAAGGGAAATTGTATAGGACATCTCCATAAAGCCATTTAAAAAAATTATCAAAGAAATCAGTTCACTGTAAACACAAATTAGTAGAATAAAAACCTAGTAGACAAAAAATTTAAATGTCCCTCAATTCTATATTCTAGAGGAAACCATCAATGTCTTACCTCCTGTTAAAATTGTTTCTAGCCCTAGCTGGTTTGGCTCAGCGGATAGAGCATCGGCCTGTGGACTAAAGGGTCCCGGGTTCGATTCTGGTCAAGGGCACTGCCCGGTTTGCAAGAACTAAAACACTAAAGCTAAAAATCATTAAAGAGCATTTCTATCATTTTCACAAACAGAACCATAAAAAATATAAAAATTAAACAATGAAATGTTTAAACTATCCCTAAATTAGTGTCAGGCAAACTTCCAAAATGACTAGAATTTTCTAAATCATTCAATGCACAAAGAGGGGAGCTGTGGATTGAACTACAGAGGGGGTGCCCTTCGCATCATCTTCCTGTGTTAGAGCAATCTCTGTCTTCAATGATAAATCCAATTAAACACCCTCATCACAGGAGAAAGCATGCAGCAGGCACTGGTTCAGTGCTGTCAAGAAACTGCTGCCAGCAACCTCAAATTTCACTGGAACCACCAATTTGCTTGTAGTTTTTAAATCCTCCCTTATTGGGAGAACAAGTAGTTGTGTATTACCAACACAATCAACTGGCTCACCTGAATGAAGCCAAACTGAAAAAAAACACCTCACTGATTCTTAAAATGCCTAGTAGCATATGCTAATTAATAGGTGCTGGGTAACCAATGAGCTGATTGATGCCAAGCCTCTAGAAAGAGGCTTGGCAGGACCTTTCCTGAGCACCTTTCTCTGCAATGCTTCCCAGACATGCCCAGGAGGAACAGTAGATGGCACTCTTCATCCATGAAAGGCTATGGCACTATAGTAGCTAGACTGCAACTGAGCTACTGCAGTGGGCAGTTTCTGCAGTCTTCTAAAATGCTTTAGATGCAAGAAAGAGAACTAAAACACTAAAGCTAAAAATCATTAAAGAGCATTTCTATCATTTTCACAAACAGAACCATAAAAAATATAAAAATTAAACAATGAAATGTTTAAACTATCCCTAAATTAGTGTCAGGCAAACTTCCAAAATGACTAGAATTTTCTAAATCATTCAATGCACAAAGAGGGGAGCTGTGGATTGAACTACAGAGGGGGTGCCCTTCGCATCATCTTCCTGTGTTAGAGCAATCTCTGTCTTCAATGATAAATCCAATTAAACACCCTCATCACAGGAGAAAGCATGCAGCAGGCACTGGTTCAGTGCTGTCAAGAAACTGCTGCCAGCAACCTCAAGAATCATTACTGCAGCCTATGGACAATTAAATTCAGTAAATGCAGGTGGATTCAGAAGCATCCTGCCACTCAGGCTGACAAAGCAGAGTGCTAGAGCAAGCTTGTCAAATTCATTTAAACGAGGCGTACGGCCCACTGGCCGTGAGTGTGACATGCTTGTGCTAGAGTATCCCAAAACATTCTTCAACTGCCCCAATCTGACCACCCAGTCTGGAGCTCAGAGATACAAGAAAAAGTTCTGAAATAGAGGCCAGTTCCTGGAAGCCTGATTTTTATGTGGACTACACCAAGAACTTTCATTTGTAATCTTTTGAGACCAGATTTTCTCTGAGAAATTACAAATTTTTAAAAAATTCATTTATACATACTCTATGTCTCCAAAAAGGGTTGGAGGGGGAAAGAAACAAACAAACCCATGGCTCATGCTCTCTAGAATAAATTTTAGAAGGGAAAAAATTCTTTCCATGTTTATCCTAAGAAGTTTTTCTTCAACCTGCACTTTTAGGGTTCTCTACCAACAGGGAGAATTCACCTAAAGCCCCTTGCTTTGAACACAAGGGGGAGGACTCTCATTTTTAAAGTCAGAAAACCACACAAATGCCAGGTTTGCTGATCTAACACAGTTGGCCAGAGCAGGCGCTGGGTGCTTTTCCCATTTGAGCTGGGCAGATCACTGATAAGGCCCATAAAACCTTTCAGCTTTCACTGCTCTCTAATTCTTGTGTCATCCTTACCACTTGAGTGATAGGTAAATGTGGTGACCTACTTTTCTAGGGGTGTCTGAAAACAACAGTGATGGAATTGAGACTGAAAACTTTCACTGGGCCAGAAAAAAATACTTTTCCATCTCATTATTCAGGGTGGCATCAGAATTTGCCTTCAGTGGACTAAATTAATAAGCCCATTACCTCAGTGGGAATTACACAGAGATAAATTCCTTTCTATAATTTCAAATTTTCAATAGAAGGTCTCTAGGCATGAAAGAGTTTTAGTGTAATTTCAAGAAGAGACCAAAAAGTCTGCAAACTGGGAAAATGAAATGGAGAATGTGAATATTACAAGAAGATGACACCCGAAACAGTTTCAAAATAAGAGGTAATGACTTCTTAAAATTTTAACATGATTCTGTGAGTAATGAGATAGTCACTGAATTATAAAAGCAGCCATCGGGAATACAACCTACTCCAGATACTGCTTAGAGAAGTCCAGTGTTTATAGATTCATTCAGATGCCATAGCATACAGGCAAAGAAAGAACAGCATTCCCATTTTACTAATTAAGAACGGGCATTAGTCCATTAAGGAACTTACTCAAGGTGCTATAGCAAGAAGTACCAGAGAAAAGACTTAAACTCCAAACCTGTGCTTGTCACCATGTCACCATCCCCTACTAGAACTTGCCCCTCTGCTAGCAACCGCAGGAATCATCACTGCAATCTACAGACAACTAAATGCACGTTGGATTCCTGCCTTTGGTTTCTCAGATCTTATAGCCAGTCAAGATCTTCGATCTAGCCTTCTTCCCTAAATGCTCCCTCTCCAAGTAGAGCTCTTTGAAGTGTTGAAGTTTTTCAACCACAAAGACAATCACAAGAGACTCAACTCTACTCCCAATTCTCACGTTCTAGGACTCATCTCTCTCGTTCCAAAGGCCAACATCTGAAGCGAAATGCAGCAAGCACATTATCGTCCCATAGAATGTCAGAAGGATCTTAAAATAGCAAGACCAGCCACCTTTCTATTAAATTTTTAACAGTGTTAATTTAATGTTATCAGCTAGTGTTCTGGTGCAGTAATTACCTGTGTGTAACTGAAAGAGCTGCTTTAGCACTAAGGAAGCACAGAATTGCCTGCGAAGTTTCCTGAAGCCTCCTCACCTCCCTTCCCAGGTGAGCAGCATAAGAGGCAGCAGAACACTTGCAGTGGGCAGTAGGCCAAGCTTACTTACCTGTAGATGACAGCAGGGATGCGCTTCCAGGACCTGAAGCCTGCTACACTTTCCAGTTCTTTGTCAGTGATCCAGGCAGGCACTATGAGTTCCTGAGGATAGCTACCACACAGCCTAACAGGAAAGGTGAGAAAAAGGGAGAGACATTAGGTGAATCAGCAGAAGGATGCTGATCAAGCTACCCGAGTCAGTTAAAAGGCAGTCGGAGCATTACTTGAGTCTTGGCCTGCTCAGCAGAATGGGCTGCTTCCAGTGTTTATATATATACACACACTATCTTGGATTGTTTCCCTTGATGCTGCCTTTTGGGAATCTGCCAGTCTTAACTATCAATGAAAAAAGGGGAGCTGAGAGGCAGTTACTCCATTGTAACTCTCTGTTGTAACAGACACACAGGCCATTTCTAACACACACAATCCCCGTCTGACTACAGAAGTGAAAGTCTGTTACCTCTAACACTCCCCCCTCAGTCTTTCAGGCTTTCGTCAAAGTGAAACACAAGAAATGTTAAGAGCCTACAATTTCACATTTCCAGAGACCTCATGGGATTATTAATGTAATCTTTGATATGAACCAAACAGGATGGCCTAATTACAGATAACAAATGCAGCAAAGGGTATGTACAGAATACTTATGTCTATTTCATAGAATGTGGAGTAAAATTAGTCATAAAAACTACCCCTAAGTGTTTTATCACTGCATATGAGATCACTGATCCGATCTCTAATGTGATGTCAAGTGGTGATGAGAACTGACTGCCTACTCATAGACGCTGTTATCTAGATATGCCTGTGCCAGGAAGCAGAGACCATGAGAGGGTAGAAAGGAAGGTTCCAGAATCCTATTAAGTAAGGATCACTTTCCACTTCAGTAATAGCAATGGAAACAGAAGACTAAAGAAGTACTCTGAAAATCACGCATTTATATTTAATAAATAGACATCGCCGAAACCGGTTTGGCTCAGTGGGATAGAGCGTCGGCCTGCGGACAAGGGGGTCCCAGGTTTGATTCCGGTCAGGGGCATGTGCCTCGGTTGCGGGCACATCCCCGGTAGGAGATGTGCAGGAGGCAGCTGATCGATGTTTCTCTCCCATCGATGTTTCTAACTCTCTATCTCTCACTCCCTTCCTCTCTGTAAAAAATCAATAAAATATATTTTTAAAAAATAAAAAATAAAAAAAAATAAATAGACGTCATTTGAAAGAAAAAGTCTAAGTTCAAATGTTCCGTCACATGAGAAATAGGGTTTTTGCAAAGACAATGGCTGTGAAACACAGTCCACAGGGACCCATACAACTCACTTGTACTTCTCATTGATGTTGGAAATCCTCCAGGCATTGATCATATCAAAACCCATCCGCTCCACTTCATTTTTAAACCTTGATGTTACATGTTCCCCTAGAAACCAAAGATAGCAGAAAAAAGGAAATGAATACCATTTAGCAAAATAGGTAGAATAAAAGCGTAGCTACCCTTCTCAGTAGGGGATAGGTATTGTATAAATAAAATAGCATCTACTTGGTTTTAGTTTTTTTAAAAATCCCTGTCAGGTTAAGACTGAACTAAGGAATAAAGAAATTAATTTTGATCAAGAAGTATGTTATCTCATCTAATCACTACTATCAAGTCTGAGGATAGTTATCGCTGAGCTCATTTTACAGATGACAGCATGGAAACAGAGAGGTTATTATGGCAGGCCCGTCTGGTCCCAAAACCCATGTTCTTATTATTCTGGCTGCTTACCTACTTCCACACTCAGAGAGATGTTATGCATAAGAAATGACATCAATAGTTCACCAAAAATAGTAACATAGATCTACAACTCATCAGAAACCCTTTGGGCCAGGCCTTGCCAGTGTGGCTCAGTGGCTGAGCATCAACCCCTCAATCAGGAGGCCACAGCTCTATTCCTGGTAAGGGCACATGCCCGGGTTGCAGGCTCAATCCCAAGTAGGGGGGTGTGGGAGGCAGATGATCAATGATTATCTCTCATCATTGATGTTTCTATCTCTCCCTCTCCCTTCCTCTCTCTGAAATTAATAAAAACATTAAAAACAAAAAAGAAAGAAAAAAACCCTTTGGGCCAGATTTCAGAACTTGAGAAATTTCTGGATTTTAAAATGACACACATATTATAATATTAACACTCTAAACAAGGTCTACTTAATCAAACATTAGTATTTCTACAATGAAATGCATAGCTAATTCATACTGAGATAAACAAAGCAACAAATAGTTTCAGATCAGTTCAAGCCACCAAATAAAATAAGAAAAATCATTCAATTTTCAGAGCCTTATAGATTAAAGAATTACAGATAAAAGAAAACAGAACTATAACTGCCAGTACCCAGGAATCTCAGGAAACACCATACTACCAAGTAAAGTGCTACGCATTTGTAAGAGCATCCACCCAAACATGTGTAACCCATCTGCACATGCCCTACTGCAATTGGTTTTCTCTTCCTTAAGACAGTGAGAAAACAAAGGCATTAATGAACTGAATATAAAAGTCATTAAATCTGAAATAACTTTCTTCCTTTAAAACTCAGAGTCCTAAGGCAGTAATTTTATTAAAAAATCATTAAGCAGGAGAGCCTACAATAATAAAAGCACAAAAGCAGCACAGGACTGCTTTGATGATCAAAGTATAAAGCTTTGCTCTCCCTGGGAGAAAAGCTTCAAAATAGGAAACAGCAATTACTTGAAGAAAATTCTATAAAACTACTTCCCATTTAAACTGCTTTTCTTGAGCTTAAACTAAAGTAGGCATTATATGTTTCCTGAAGGAAAGCTATAAAAAGACCAGGCTCAGAAATGCAGAAAGAAATAATCAGCTGAATCTATTATTTTGGAAGTGATATGGACTTCCAAATAGGAAAAAAGCTATCTGAATTGGGGTGCCATTTGTCTACAAATTGCATGGAACAGTGACCATCAAGAATACTAAATGGGCCCTGGCCAGTGTAGTTCAATGGTTATAACTTCCATGTGGACTGTATATACTGGGAAGAAACAAAATACAACCTTTTACTTATAGAGAAGTTCAAAACAGTTAGTTACAACAGCACCACATCACCTTGTATATTCATAATTTCCAAAATGTTTTTACAAGCATGGCACACAGGAGATACACAAACATTTACTGAATTGAGCTCTAGCATAACCAATTTGATCTTCAGGATACCCAGAACAGCTTGGGCAGGAAGAACAAGAATTTCCCAGTTTGAAGAACAAAGGAAACTAAAGTACAGAGAGGATAAAAATGGCTTACCCAGTATTTTTTTTAATTAAATAGTAGAGTACGAATTTGATCAGTTTGATATCTAATTCCTAAGTCTAGTTAGTACTTTACCCACCAAATGCCTCTATCCATCATAAATCCATGAAAGACAGAGGACACCATGGACATCTGTAAGGACTGGTGGTCAAAGAACACGAAATAACATCAGAAAGGAAGGACCTGAGGACCAAAGACATCCCAGCTCAGGACAAAGCCATCCATCATTAAAAGACTACAGTGAAGTTCTGACCTGGCATATCTTAGGAATGGACGAAGAGTTAGCTCAAATCCAAAAGAATAAAATTATCAAGGAAATAAGAAATCATCTAAAAATATGAGAAAATTTCAGTTTCAGGAAAGAGAAATCTAGGTTTGTTAACTAAATGCTGCCAATCCAAAACTAGGGGAATGCCTCTGGAGTTAAGAGTCTTAAATCAAATGTACACATAAGATTTGTGCATTGCATTATGTATAAACTTTACCTTTAACAAAAATTTGAAAAGAACCAGAAACAAAGAAACAAAACAAAACAAAATAATACAATGGTATCTCAATAAAGAAGGAAAGAAAAAGAGGGATGCAGTGGATGAGGGAGTGAAGTGAGACCGTTTAAAAGCACGTTCTCATAACCTCCAAGGCTGGTGTGGTCTCTTGCTAATGACTTTGGATTCCACTGGCCTTGACCAGGCTTGTGGGAAGCTTAAATTCCTGAGGCTTTCCTTTAGGCTCAACAAGGGCAGGGCCTGTTTTTCATCTGTATCCACAGCACCCCACATAGTCAGTTCTCAATAGGTGAGAATTGGGTTTAAGTTCTAGCGCTGTCAGTACCTACCAGTGGGACTTGGCAACAGCCATTGTCTGAGTTTCATCTTTAGCTCCCAAAACAAAAATACCAGCCTATCCTGCCTGTTTGATCAGATCATAAGGGCCAAACAAAAAATCAAAGCATCTTTAAAAATAAGATGATGCTTATGTGTGTTGTTATATTTTATTTAAACAAGAATATAAACCAAAAACTTCAACCAGTGAATGAATAAAAAACAAAACAATGCACATAGCTAGATTAGCCTCAAATGTTTAAAATGAGCCAGGGCAGAATTGTTAAGACTGAAGATTCAGGATTAAAAACTGAGGTTTAAAGAAAAAAAAAATCCCAAGAGTAAACTTTACTGGAAAAAGCTCACAACTCTGTACCACTTAGGAATTCAAGACTTTGCTCCCAAACTGGATACAGTAAAGAATTCATGTTGGACCAGAAAAGTTATATTTATAGCAACATAAAGTTCACAGACAACTATATGGAGAAATAACATGAACTTATTAGTCAAAGCCATTTCTGAGGGAGAAAGACAGTAAATGCGACAAAGATTTAATGAGGAGTCAGGAAGTCTGGGTTTCAGCACAGACTCAGCTTCTCTGTCCTGAAGGAAGTCACCTGGCCTCTGTCTCATCATCTTGGGATGAAAGGGGTAACAACAGTAACCTATGGCTTGAAAATTCAAAGACAGTGAAAGACCTTTTTATATTCCACTATTACATGGCCTAATCTCACACTTCTATGCCTTTGCTCATGCTACTTGCTCTATCATTCTTTTCCCCATTCTCTAATCAATGAACTCTCACCCGACCTTCAAAGCCTATTCAAAAGCCACTACTAACGTGAAGTCTTCCCAGACCTGTATACAATCCTCATGGCTCCTTTCTACTAGGCTCCCAGATCACCCATCAAATCTTACTATACAGTTGGTTTTTAACCCCAGTAGATTGTGATGCCAAATCTTGTGTTCTTTCCTTCCCCTGAAAGGCAGGAAACGTGTTCTACTCAGCTTGTAAGAATGATGGGCACATGCTAAGTGTTGCATAAAATATACACTGACTGACTATATGAGTGCTTAGGGGTCCCATTTCATGTTAGGGTACCTCAGTAGCAGTTCGTAAAGCCACTATTGGCATATTTTAGAAAGGCCTACCTGGTCTGCACAGGTCTCCATGTTGCTCTTTTTCACTGGCATAAACCTCCATGCACCAAGCATGGTATGCAAATGAGAAGAGATCTTCTATTTTAGCAGGTGGCCGGATTGCATTGTTCAGTCTCTTAAGCCACTCTTGACATTGCTCAAAAGTTGAAAACTGACACCTTTGTAAAGCGAAACAAGTACAGATGTAATCAGAAGACAGATAACAATAAAACCTAAGAAAAGCCACATCTTAAGAGTGCCTACTCATGATGAGGTGATAACTACAGTCAAAAAAGCGTTAGAAGTGGTCATTCACATGTTTATCATTTATAATAAAAATAGGCCAACAAATTTTAGCCAATGGTGTAAAATGTCAAAAAGAAGAAAACTGGACATATGGGAAACTTATGTTGTTAGACTAATGAAATCTCTTCTGAGACTGATTGTAATTATTAAAGTAAAATGGCAGTTATTCTCTCCCATGAGTGGAATTTCATTCTATTTCTTCCATCAAAGCTTTATAGTTGTCCCTCCCAAGAAATATGTTTAGAGAAGTCCTTTTGTTTTGTTATGATATGTTAGGCTGAGCTCAAATCACAGCCATATTTTTTGCCACTTAGGGAATAATTTCAAAATTTGTCTATTTACCAATTACAATAAATCAGCAACTTTATATCCAAAATAAGATAAATTACATTACAGTATTCAGCTATTACCATGTAGGGAACAAAATTTTATTATCAATTGCAACTTTCAGAATATATAACTAAGGTTAAAATAATTAGTGTAAACATACTTTACCTTTTCAGATGCAGTGTTTAAAATCGAGCAACTAATAAGCAATCTTTTTAAACTCTGAGTTATAGCCAGTATCTATCAAAAGCAAGCCAAATTTCAATGGGGAAAAAGCAACTATACATATTTACCTTAAAACCAAAAAGGTCAATTAAACCTCTCCCTTGTCCCAATCAATGTGGCTCATCAACATGCCAGCACAAAATGTTTATTGGCACTCCAGAACAGGTCAAAGAGAAAAAGTAAAAACTTGGGGAATTTAAAACTTGCAGAGCTACTAAATTTAAAAAGGTATTTCAGGCATCATTTTGCAACCATTATAGAAAAGATTAGATCAGATAAAAACATTATTGGACGCTAAATCTTTGGAGAAATTTGGTAAGAAACAAGAATCTGCATTGTCTTACAGTGCCTCCCATAGACTATTTATTAGTTGCAAGGAGAAAGTTTAGAAATTATGGTGACACCTTAATAGAGAGATCAAAATTAACATCACCAATAGGGACAGATGGATACTGTTTGCCTCCAGATGTAATACAATACCCTGAAAAGGACACAACCTCATGGGTATAGTGTAACAGCTGAGAATGTACAACCTCAATTTAATCATGAGGAAACACTGGACAGACAAAATAAGAAACAGTCTATTAAAAGACAGTATTCTTCAAAATGTCATAAAGAAAAAAAAATGCCATAAAGACAAAGCTGGTGAGAAACATTGCAGGTTAAAGAAGGCTATAGAATCATGCCAGCTAAATGTAGTACCTGACCTTGACTGGATCCTGTTCTGAGCTAGGTGGGGTAGGGGCAATGCTGTAAAGGGCATTATTATGTCAACTAACAAATTTGGAATATGAATTGTAGATTGGATAAAAGTATTATGTGTAAAATAGCGAAGATGATAATGATACTGTGGTTATATAAAAAAAATCCCTATTCTTAGGAAAGCACATGAAAGTATTTCAAGGTGAAGAGCCATGATTATATTAACTTACTTTCAAATTATTCAGTAAAGAATATATATATCACACACACACACACACACACACACACACACACGGCCCCTGCAAACGATAGAACAAATGGGGTAAAATGTTAACAGTACAGGTGTTCTTTGTACTATTTTTATTTTTGCATTTTTTGTAAATTTGAAAATATTTCCCAATAAATTTAAAAATACCTTTCAAATAGCAAAGTAACCTAAAATATTTCAGATAGTAACTACTCAAAAATATTCCCACAAGGCTGATCCTCAAAAGCTCTTTTTCTGTTAACAAACCATGAATCCATTCTCTGAAATGTCTTTTCCACAATAAACAGCAGCATAAACACGCCACATACCTGATAACTTTGCAATCTTTGCAAGTCAAATGAAGCTGAAATATGTCTCGACATTCAACACTTTCTATCAGCTGTAATGGAACCTGCAATTAAAAGAGACAAAGTCCCCTTAGTGAAAAAGGCACAGACCGACCCTGCAGTTCTTCAATGTGTCCAACAAGAGTGAATAGAAAGCTCCACAAGGGCAAGGAGCAAACAGAACTGCACACTTATCTGGATCACTAGTACTCACGTGCTTTACTACTGGGTGAATTCGGGTTTCCCCTTCTCTATCTCTAAATCAAAAACACAAGTCAGGAAGAGGAGACACCACCTCTGGAAGAATGGGGAAATATGTCATCTCGCAAGCAACAAACCCACAAAAGCTCAATACTCAGTACTTCTTGAGACGCTATAGCCAGCTGTGATTTGTAATGACACAGAAGCTGAAGGGAACCATAATAGTAACCCTGTCTTGTTTACAGAAAAGAACTGTAGATCAAAGTGCTGGTGGGACTACACTTGTCCTTTGCCCCAAATCATAAAGTGAGCTTGTGGCTTTGTGTCAGCAAAGAAGCATCCTAAAAAAGACAAGTCTAAACTGCCTGCAGGTTGCAAAGAAAAGACGATAGGGCAGTAGATGCTGGCCAGGCTTTCTGCTCAGTAAAATAGGCTTATAGTTATCAAGGAGGAAGGAGCAGACCACACAGTGGGCAAAGGTCCTAAAACTAGCGAGGTCTAATTTGTTTTAAAAGACCAATTGAGGAGCCCTGTTGCCAAGTGGGACTTGAGATATGAGCAAGCTAGAATGATTTTCTTCCTGCCAATCAGGTCAGCAGACTCTACTGAATGAACACAGGAGTAAATACAACAGTAAAAAGCAAAAGAAGGGAGACAGGATGGGAAAGCATATAAACAGGGTGACAAATTCTCAAGTTGACATGAGACTCCTCCCCCTCTCCCTCCACTCATCCTGACTCAATCCCTGGCTTCAAAAAGCAATTTTCAAAACTTCTAAAGAAAACCTGATAAAGCCTAGCGGATACTCTTGCTCCTTGGAAAAGGTTAGACCACTGCCTCTTACACTGTATCATGCTAGCCAAAATATGGCCATGGGAGTTGCAAGTAGCCTTCAAACAATTCATATTTAGCATAGAAGAGGGAGCAGTCTTCTCCAACACAGACAGAAACAAGGGAATGCTGGGTGGCTCTCATGTTAGCTGAGCCTTTTCGGAAAGCCTGTCCTACCATGCAGTTGCCAAAGTCAGCAGAGAACTCTTAGAACAAGGATGTGGGGATCCAAAAAAAGCCCCATGCTGGACGTCTAGGACCAAGAAACAGAAACCGGGGCAGGGATTTTAAAAAAAAAGAACAAAGCAAAATAATAATATTCAGATACTGGCTGGGAGTATCTACTCAAGACCAGAACCTTCTTGCTTAGTTCTAAGTTTATAATCTGCAAATTTTGCTTACACTTGTAATAGGACTGGGAGTAAAAGAAAGACTATGAAATCTTGCCTGTATTCTGAGAAAAAAAGCAGCACTGGCCCTCGGTTTTTTAAGTCCTTAACCCCAAGGTGCTGTGAGAAACTGGAGCTGATACAGCTAAAAATTCTCTCAAGACCTGTACGTCTAAGAAGGAAAACAATAATAACAATGTATTAGTAAGAATAAACTGCGAAGGAGGAATATGAGATTAAGAGGAGAACTCTGATTCATTCTCAGAACAGTACTCGGTAACAGACTCTCGTATTGTTTTCCTTTCTTTAGGTAACCTCCTCCCTCCTCCCTTTGCAGTGAGTGAGCTTTACAAATTCAAGTGGGGGGAGGCTGCAATCTCAGCAGTTACCTGCACCCCAGGTCCCCTTAGACTGCTTGAAAAGCCCCCTCAGCCCCAAAAGAAAAACAAAAGTGGCTGCAAGACTGACAATTAAGAAGCCTGAGTTATTTCAAATATTAAAGATGTCCCCTCTTTTCCCCCACATTGACACCTCTATCCCGCTCCCCCAGGCCTTCACCACACTATTGTCTGTCTGTCTATGAGTTATGCATATATGCATATAAATTCTTTGGTTAATCTCTTCCCAACACCTGCTCTCTGAAATACACCCCCCCTTCCTCTGAAATCCATTAGTCTGTTGCATGCTTCAATGTCTCTGGATCTATTTTGTTTGTTAGTTTATTTTGTTCATTAGATTCCAAATGTAAGTGAGATCATGAAGAGGCCTGAGCTCTAATTTCAATCCTCGAAAATTTTACCAACTAAAATTTTGCCTGCTTCCAGACTTCCTTAGATGAGCTTCCCCCCTTCCTATATGCCACTAGTCTCTGCTTTCTGAACCTCAGATAGTCACAACTTAGGAATTCCAGGTACAGGGAATGGGAAGGGAATGAGAAGAGCCTGGGGTGCAGTGAGTGAGCTTTACACATCCAAGTGCAGAGGCTGCGATCTCAGCAGTTACCTGCACCTCAGGGCCCCTTAGATTAAACCAATTAATGCTCTTAGCAGTTGCTGGAGAGAGTGGACACCAGCCTGTGCTACTTAGCTACAATGAACAGGTAAGTTTTATATCCCTCCTACTGGACCAGAGCACAAGGGCCTATGCCCAGACTTCCAGAATAAAACTAATGAAACATGTCAGAGCATGTAAAAAACGTGCTCCCTAAAATGCATTTGATATACAAATGTTCATGTATTTTAACATGACAAATTTAAAGAACAAAGAAGTTGGTTGCTAATATGCAGATACTAGAAACACCAGTGTATACCACACGTGCTCAAGTCGTAGAGCTATAAAACGGCAGATTTCAAGACTCATGCAGATTGTTACATGCACTGAAGTTTAATATGCAGCAGGAACAGGAACATACAGAAGAAAAATACCTGATTTTATATCAATGAACATCTTCCTTTTTTCTTCTACTTCTACCTCAATATTCCCGTCTTCACTGTTCCACAGAGTGCTTCCTCTTCTAAAAAGATAGAACTGGCCTTCTTTTCCTCTTCATTTCTCCAACCAAAACATACTAAGTTTCTCTGCATTTTTTAAGGCCCACGCCATCGCTTTAGCTTTCTCAACTTTCCCCTGAAGAGGATCTCTTACCATTTCTGTAACTAAACATACCCAACAACCAATCTCATAGGCAAACAATTACAGATTCAAGAGCCAGGCCATTTTACAGCCTAGGAAGGTTAACCGCTACACCAGGGGTGGGCAAACTATGGCCCGCGGGCCGGATGCGGCACGTTTGAAATAAACTAAAAAAAAAACAGACCCGTACCCTTTTATGTAATGATGTTTACTTTGAATTTATATTAGTTCACATAAACACTCCATCCATGCTTTTGTTCCGGCCCTCCGGTCCAGTTTAAGAACCCATTGTGGCCCTCGAGTCAAAAAGTTTGCCCACCCCTGCGCTACACTATAAGCTAGTGACCAACTCAGGACAGTAATCTATGTCAGTCCTCCAGTCCAGGCTCCTTTCATTATGTATATGATGTGTGTTTCTTCCTTTAAGACTGCACTTCACTTCTGTATGCGCTCTACTATCGTTTCTTTCCCAATTAAGGCCTCTCCCTCAGGGGTCTTCAAGAGGAAAACAGAATCTAAACCAAGATTCCTTAGAGGTAATTTTACCCATGGAAGAGTAGTCAGAAATCTAAAGTCACATTCAAATCCTCGCTAGCTCACTGATTCAAATGTTTTAGAGCAATTAATTTTCTTTTTGTTATTTTTTCCTCTATCGTCTAGCTTGGTAATTCTATCTCCCTTTACAGTGCTCTTCCTCTTATTTCACCAAACTCATGCTCAAAACAATGCATCTAACACACAAAGTGCTGTTAATCGATTTCTCAAAAGGCCAGAAGTTACATCACGAACACCAAAACTCATAAGAGCATCAATCCAAAGCAGAAGAGCAGCAAGTAAAGACTTAACAGACATGCACAGGTATTGAAGCCCCATAGTGCCGTCCCATTCGGGGATGTGTGCACACTCACATGCACACGTGTACTGTTTGAGCACCAGAACTGAAAAGCGGGATAATTCCTATCTTTTAACAACAAATGCCCCCTTTATAGCCTGAATGGGAAGTACTAATCTTGTATGTACATTTGAAGTAAAAATGATAGTAACTAAGTGAAAATAAAGCTATGATTCTAAACCTAAAATCTGTAATAAACTGGAATATCTGGGCACTAAATCTTATCCTTTAAAAACCAGTCCTAAAAAGAAGACTGTCACAGACTAAAGACATAAACTTTTTATTGCTCTCCTTTGATATTCATAAGCGACTCTTCCAGCACTGGTGCCAGATGCCTCTGCTGACATATGAATGCTAAGGCCAAAGTGTATTCAGTGTTAATCATAACCTCTTCTTGATGTTTGGAGAAGAAAGATTTTTGATGTACTACAGTCAGACAATTAAAAATGTGAAAAAAATGCTAAGAAAGGTGTTTCCAGCTGCTACACTTCCACCTTTTTCCTCAGAAGCATTAACAGGACATCCTAGAAACAAATTCTAATGTCCTTTTAGATACTAATGTTGATTTTCCAAAAATTTCTAGTTGAAATTCAGTTTTCATTTTTTGAAGGTCACACTTCCATGAGCTCATGTATAAGCTGTGGGGCTTTTCCTCACCCCACAAATTGTTCTCATTATAGGGTACCACTAGAACATTGTCTGGTAAGAGGGAAGGGACTCATGCAGAATGGACACATTTTGCTGACTTGCAAGGTGAGCATCTGACATTCAAAACCAATTTGCTCCAGGCACATGTGCAAAAATCGCCTAGGTTTCTCATGCTACTTACTGGGACTTCAGAAGCAGTAGATTGAGAGGCAGTCTATTGAATTACACAAAAATTGTTTTAGACTTTCATGAATTCCACTTGAATATTTTGTTTATAAATTAGCTGAGCATCAAAGAAATATATTTGTACATAAGTAAAAATATGGTTTGGGCAAAGCACAGAATGGGGGCAATTCACACCTTAAATGCTACCAATGAACTCTACTACCGAGGTTCTTTACCCTAGAAATTTAAAACTTGATATCCAGTGACTGTGTGTGAATTAGAGTACACAATACTTTTGGCATCTAAGTCTACAGACTTTCACTCAATGTGTGAAATTGAAAGAATATATGTGATGAATAGTAACTAGATTTACAATGGTGTGGTATACACAAATATCAAATTATAATGTACAGCTGTAATATATGTAATCTTGTATACTAATTTTTACAAAATAACACTTTTTAAGAATGTATATTAGGTTGCTATTTAAAACCTGATAGTAAATTATTTTCTAAAGTACTAAATATATTGATTTAAAAACATACAAAATGATGCAAACTGGGGCCTGCCACAATATATACTGGCACATTTTGGGCTTTACGGTTGAAATGTGTTTGAATATCCTTCAAAGGGAGTCTCTTGATCTCACTTATTTTATTGAAATATTTATCTGCTGACGGAGAAAGAAAAGAGGGAGGGAGCGGTAACCCCACCAACTCTCTAGTCTCCATCCAGCACCTAGCAGGAGGAGCCACTGTTTCTTGGAGTAATCACAGGTTTTAGGAACCTTAGCACTAGCTGTGATGTAAGTAATTTATTTGTATGGAGAAGTCACAGTCTCCTTCTATCTGAAATATTTAAAGTCACTGCAATACCAAAATACTTCTGCACAATCATTTTTCTAGACAGCCATTATATTGGACTTTTTAAGTCACATGCAGGCTCTATGCCTAGAGGGTTATAATGCTATTTGAGAAAACACTTTTTTAGGTGAGAAAATAGGTCAAAAGTATGTACATTGGTAAATTTCTTAAGCATTATCTTTCAGTCACAAAGAGGGACCAACATTTACAATAAACAACCCACTTATACAGCTACCCTTAGAGACATTGACATGAGCTTATCACACAGATATGTTGTTTTAAAATGAGCTTTAAATCGACAAAGGATTTTAAAATGGTCTAATAGCCATTTCAAGCCCATATTAACTTTAATTCACATAATACAGGGGTGGGCAAAGTAGGTTTACAGTTTCAGTACACAGGACAGTTTATTATTATATTATTACTTATTTATTTGTAAACCTACTTTTGCCCACTACTATATTTATTGAATATCATGGTACCAGGAGATATGCTGGATTCTGAAGACACAAAGATGAATAACCAAAAAGCTTCAGCATATCCGGTAAATGTTGTAAAGGTGTGGTCAAGATACAGAAGAGCAGCCAGGACTGTAATAAACTGCCAGGGAGGAACTGGGACTGAGAAAGACATCACAGAAGTTATCACCAGATTTGGGTTTTGAAAAATGAAAAAGAGTTCCCTGGGCAGGAGAGAAGAGAGAGAACTCGGAGTGTGAGATTATGGCTGACTAGTCCAAGGAGGATATACCCGTTTTATTAACACCAAGGGGAGAAGGGAGAAAAGACGGAAACAGACAGAAAAGCTGGCAGGGACCAAGTACCAAATACCCTGAGATCATGCTAAGTAATTCCACCTTAAAAGCAATAAAGAAATACTGAAAGGCTTGAGGCTGGTGAACGACATGATCAATTCCATGCTCTCTCTCCAATAGACCCTATTCCAGAATAGATCTAAAAATAGTCCCTAAAATACTTGGCCATAAACCAACAACCTGAGAAATAGGGGACTGAATGGAAAAACGCAATGATATGCAACTGTATCATCCCTACATGCAATTTAAGTAGAATTTCATTGATTCCAGCCATTTAACACAAGATTAAATTGAACAATTCTACTTACTACAGTAGTCCCCCTTATCCGTGGGGGATATGTTCTCAAACACCCCCCACTGGATACCTGAATCTGTAGATAGAACCAAATCCTGTACACCATGACTTTTTCCTATACACACAGTAGTTTCTGCCCCCTCCTTATTGGCAGTTTGCTTTCTGTGAAATCAGTTACCCATGGGTCGACCGTGGTCCAAAAATATGAAATGAAAAATTATAGAAATAAACAATTCATAAGTTTTCAATCACATGCCATTCTGCGTATTGTCATGAAATCTTGTGCTATCCTGTTCCATCCCACCCAGGACGCAAGTTGCCCTTTGTCCAGCATCTCCATGCTGTGAGGTACCTGCCCATTAGTCGCTTAGTAGCTGTCTTGGTTATCAACTGTTGCAGTATTGCAGTGCTCGTATTCAAGAAACCCTTATTTAACTTAATAATGGCCCCAATTTATTACCATATATTGTTATAATTGTTCTATTTTATTATTAGTTATTGTTAATCTCTTACTGTGCCTAATTTATAAATTAAACTTTATCATAAGTATGTATGAACAGGAAAAACACAGTACATATATGCCAGGTTCAGTGCTATTCAAAATTTCAGGCATCCAATGGGGACCTTGGCATATATTCCCCATAGATAAGGGGGGACTACTGTACATACCTCTTCACTTAAAGGAAGCACTTCATGGCGTCTCTTGGGCATATCCCAATTGCCAGCATCACTACTCTTGCACTCTGGGGCCATCCAGGATGGCGTAAGATTTTATCACACTGCTCAGAATGGTGTGCAACTAAAAACTATGAATCGTGTTGTTTTCAATCTTTACCCGAGGACATGCTTAGAGAGAAGAGGAAAGGGGGAAGGGGAAGGGAAGGGAAGGGAAGCGAGGGGATTGGAGGGGAGGGATAGATATCAGTTGCCTTTTGTACATTTGTACATGCCCTGACCGGGGATGGAACCTGAAACTTAGGTATGTGCCCTGACTGAGAATCGAACCATCAACCTTTTGGTGCACAGGACGAAGCTCAACCAACTGAGCCACTCCAGCCAGGCAAAACATATGAATTGTTTATTTCTGGAATTTTCCATTTAGTCTTTTCAGACCACAGTTGACCATGGCTAACTGGAATTGCAGAAAGCAAAACTGCAAAAGGTGGGGGACTACTATATTACTGTCATTACTTTCACAGTAACTGGTGGGGAATTTCTGGTTGCTGGAATTTTAGAAGTTTCTATCCTGTCCCCTCCTATGACAACTATGCATTCCAAATGGACCCTCCTGAACACAGTGCAATATGGAATGAAAGCACAGATGCCTCTTTCCTTGATGAATCCAATGTGTATTAATAGCTGATGAACAGAAATCTTAAGTAACAGCTATGATAGTAGACCAAATCTAGAAGCCAGAAGGAATTCAGGCCACAATGGTTCCTGGATATAAACGCTTAACTACAAAGAATAATAACAAAGACTACATAAATAATAAATGCCAACTATAAAGAAAATGGCAGCCATTTGAGTCTTTTGACCAAAAAAAAGAGAATGTGATGAAGGAGTTGGGTAACTTTTGAATCAATGAAAAAAATAAACTTAAGTGACAGATATCAAAGAATCCCAAATGATCCTCAAAACACACGATCTGAATGATGTCATAATACACTTCTCTGTGCTAGAACCGAAGTGCAGAAAGGCACAATGCTGGCAAATAAAGAAAGAAGGAGGCATTCATTGGTGGGAGTACACAAATTTTTGTGCCTTTGTGGTAAAAGGCACATTAATGAAAACTATTAATAATGGCAGTGACTGGGAGAACCAGTTCACTCAGAGTACCCTCATAACTAAAACGGATAAATGCACTCTATGGATTGAGAGCCTTCCTTTTCTTTAGGAATACATAGTCCATTAAACAATTGAACATTGTACATAACATTTATACTTATACCACTATGGAGCCATTAGACTAATTTCATCCTATGATAGTCTACACTGAGCTCAAAGTACATCTCATCATTGACATCAGGATCCAGGAAATTATCTCAACTGAGGCAGTAGTTAACTATTAAAGGTTGAAGAATGAAAGTCTATACAGCCTTTGCACCTTTATGAAACTTAATGATACAGCATTACTTAGGGCAAACCAATTCAGTAATACTAAACAATGGACACCTCAGCTGACAACTACGGGTATCATTTTAAATCAAGCGTTACAACTGCTTGCTAACCTAGGTCACCTGGGTGCCAAACTGAGAGAAAAGCAGAGGATAGTGTTTTCACACCCAACCCTGTATAACACTCCTCTCACTGAGAACATGAACCAGTTTTTTTACTTTCCTTCTCCATCTACTTTAGTTGGTAATCACTTACATTAACAAGAGACTCCTTGAACTTGATATGAAGTCTGTAATTAGAAAGGGCAATGATGGCATCCTCAGCACGGCCCACATACTCTGTGCTTTCTCCATGAAGTTCAAGGAAAGGAACCTTCAAAATGGAAGCAGAAACCCTTCAAAGTTCTGAAGCAGTAAATCAAAGTCTTCACAGGTCAGATAAATGGATGATGAAACATCCTCTGTTACTCAAACTTAGAACACAATACATAAGTGGGTAAGGGACTGGGCTTATGTCCACATAATTCGAAGATACCTAGTTATTCAAATTCTAGACTTCTGAAGGAATGACACAGATGAACATCTCAAACAGTCAATTCTCAGGAAATAAGTCTTCTAAAAGGAAAGATGTTTCCCAGCTGCATTTCTACTATGTGCATGGCTTAGGAAAAAAGATATATATTATATAGTACAGTACTTCAAACCACTAGCTCACTACATTACTATGATGCTAAATACTTTTCAATCAAAAGTGGCCTGTAATTACCTGAAGATTCTCATCCTCCCGGATCAGCTGCTTCCTGGGAAAGATCTGATTGGCCTGGATGCACTCAAGGCTGTGCCGAGTCTCTTCATCCTGAAGAGAAAAAAAAAAGAAACTTAAAATAATTTCAAAACTCCCAGACACCCATATTTGGTTTTTCTGCCATGTTTTAATAGTATAATCACAATGGGAGTCTGGTGATCAAAGTTAACAGGCAAAAAACTCAAGAAAAAAAAATTAATCCCCAGCCCTAACCAGTTTGGCTCAGTGGATAGAGCGTCGGCCTGCTGACTCAAGGGTCCCAGGTTCAATTCTGGTCAAGGGCATGTACCTTGGTTGCGGGCACATCCCCAGTAGGGAGTGTGCAGGAGGCAGCTGGTCGGTGTTTCTCTCTCATCGATGTTTCTAACTCTCTATCCCTCTCCCTTCCTCTCTGTAAAAAATCAATAAAATATATTTTAAAGAAATATTAATCCCCAAAAGTGTTCCGTCTGATATATATTAGGCGCCTCTACTTAGAAAACACACTGACGCACACAAAAAACTTAATTAAAAAAAAAATCAAAGAGGTTAAGAGCATTTATATTAAGCAGTAATAAGTTGTTAGGACATTACCTGTAAGAGAAACAAGATATAGTAGTTTTGTTCTTTTTTTACCTTAAATTCTTATTTTTGAAAAATACATTCTGAATTATTTAAAAATGAAATGATGTGATAACTGGAATTTGTTTCAAAGTAATTAGAAGGGGAAAGGTAAGGAGGAAATGAATGGGGCATTAATGAAAACAGGATTGTCCATGAGGGATGATTGATGAAACTGGGTAAGTGGAGGTTCACTATACCATTGTGTCTACTTTGGTTATATGTGTAATTTCCATAATAGAAAGTTTTTTAAAAATGCAAAGCGTAAGAACCAAATTTCTCAAACAGCAAGCATATGTGAAACACTATCCCTAGTTTAATATGTCTTATATTACAGAATAGATTTATTTCTATTAAGGCAATTTCAAAAAAAAAGCAGCAATAAATTCTAATCTAACTGGCACCTGAACTAATTATAACTTGTATTAAAATATAGTCTTTTACATTATGAATCTTTACAGTATAGGAAGACAGGAGAGAAAAGCAATATAATGGAAAGTCTGAGTATAAATTATGATGCAATTTATTTACACAGCAAACTTTGTAAAATCAAAAGCCGTATCATGCTCAGCTGACGGCACTAATAATTATAATCACTAATTAGTGTTCGGACATTTCTGCATATGCTATTTATCACAATTCCAACAATTCTTTCTACTTCCTTAAAGAGGGAAACAAAATCTTACCTATAAATAAAACTTAAAGTTTTACTTAAGAGCCCTCCAAATCTTAAAACCATAATACTCTAACTAGTGTGGTCTATAGATTCTGAGACCCTTTCAAGGGGCTCTATGAAGTCAAAATCCCCTTCACAGTAATACTAAAACATTATTTGCCTTTTCTCACTGTATTGACATTTGTATTAACAGTGCAAAAAGAATTGGTGGGTATAACTGCTGGCACCTTAGTACAATCAAAGCAGGGACCCAGCAGCACCAGGATGAAGGCCACATTGTTGCTAGCTATGTGGAATACAATGAAGGACACCTTAGTACAGAACAGAGCTGCCTTAATAGCTCATCTGCTATTCATTAGCACTGGCATATATGCCATATAAGTATTAGAAAAACACTTTATCAACTCATTAAAATCTATGGGAAAACCAATAAAACATAATCTAGAAAAATAACATTAAAAGTTCATCTGTGTTTGGGTCTAAGATACATTGTTATGCCCATAAACTAAGAAGAAATGGGCCCAGCTTGAGATGAGAGCAGTTACCTCTCCTCCTTTTAATATGAATTTCTGCGCAACTAGTTTTTCTGTCTTAGTTCGTTTTTAATTTTGAAAAGCACTTTCCATCCATGTCCCTAATGAAGCTTGAAATTAATATGACCTTTTCAATTCCTTTTTTGTGCACCAGCATGAAACAGTTTGCATCTAGGAAATATCACAAGGTAGAAGCAGGACAATATTACAGAGGGCTGTTCTTTTTTAAGCCTTAAAGCTCTATTTACCTATTCTCAGGGTTGATAGAAATGTGGCTGACTCATTGCTGCATCTTTTCTGCCTAGATGGCCTAGGTCCTAAATGGCCCACAAGTCATTGAAATGTCCAATAAATATCCATGCTCTCTGTAGTCAAAGGTGTGGGCAGGGGTGTGCAGAGCTGCTCCACCTTCTTTGGGATAAAAATACTGCCTTAAATAAAATGGGGAAGGTAGGGAATTGCTTTTATCCAGATAGGTAAGCTCATAAAGAATATGTGACCATATCATAATTCTCCTACACACTCACACACAATTTCGTATCTTGCTTCCTCAAAAAGGAAGAAGAAACCTAGAGTCCAAGAATCATGGGTTTTAGTCTTGATTCCATTTACTACCTGACTGAAGGGAGACAATATTTAACTCACAGAATTAAAGCTAATAGAAATGAAACGGCTTTAATATACTAGAATATTCTATAATTATCACTATTAAGAAAACAAAAAAAAGGAGACAAGCAGAGTTCTGGGATAGGAAAAGTGAAATGGTTTCTTACAACAACAAAAATGGGTAACTATGATGTATTAATGTTCACTTGTCAGGATAGAGTTCAATTCCAATTTTCTTACCGTATTTGCCGGCGTATAAGACGACTGGGCATATAAGACGACCCCCTAACATTTCCACTCAAAATACAGAGTTTGTTATATACTCGCCGTATAAGACTACCCCCTCTTCCGCACACCTTCCACACACCAAATAAAAGGTAAAACAATATCAGATTTGATTTTAACATTTTAATTTATATTCAAATGCTTATGACATGCAGGAAAACTGTCACAAGGCTGTATGTAATCAAACATATACATAAAACAGTGCAAGTTTATTACCGGTAAACATACCGGTAATTCACTAAAGAAAACACACTCTATAGACTGGTACCGTAGATGCTTCTCAGGAACACAGGCAAGCAGCCCACAACCTAGAGGGACTGTCAATGATAGAAGTAAGAT